TTGCCCTCAATATGAGAACTCATCGGAGCGCTAATTCCCGTAGGCTCCAACACCGACTATACAACTGCGGCACTTTCACTGTGAATGTTACACAAGACGGCGAATCTGTATAGATTCAGGACAAAGCTGAGAAAAGGAATCGGTCCATCGTCACGCGCCACAAAATTCAAAACCGTCACTGAGTGACGGTCACTCGAGGAACCACACACATCGCTAAATACGTGGACCTTCTACATAAACCCCCAGCCAGGGGACTCATTCCAGGCAAATCTACGGCAATCAACTTCACCACAGCACGCATGCGCATGATCCACACCGCTCCCCGAGAACATCATTTGTCAATTCTGAAGGTCTCCACCAGAAGGGGCCACCCGCGCCTCCGTCAACAACACCGATCCAGCTGTAGCTGCTGCCACTCTGACCGCTGACTCCACCACGGGAGCTGAGGGAAACGGCAGTATCAGAATACATGTTGGCTTCCCATATTTTTTCTCAAAAATGAACGAAAAGTAACAAATAAATTAATTTAATTTAATTGAATGAAGTAATAAATGGAAAAAATCAGAATTTCTCATTGTGAAGATTGCCATATTTTCCTTATTATCATACATGTGTTAGTTAAAATATGAAAATTCTGAGAAACCTCTGGTGCATTTTCGTTGGTTTCTGTACACTTCCACGAATTCGTATGTAAACTCCTATAATTAACGAGGGAACAATGGCCACTACGCCTACCTTTACAGCGGCTAACCGACTCTGCAACTTCGACTTCTCATATATACTAACATGTTCCTAACATGTGGGAAAGTTCTGAATGAGTTTAACCCCGATTTAATTCCCTGCATCATTTCATACCATCCATCTCCGAAATCGCTCCCGATCGCAAGAGGTGACCCTATACTACCTTTCGAGCCAAGCTGCTTATTCAACCTTCTAGCCACCTCCTAAGCTATTGTGACTCCCTCATGCATCATCCTCACCCAAGCCTCATCCCCAGTCAATGCCACATTCTGTCATTGAGGACCCAAAATGACCTGGGAAATATTCACAGTGCGAACTGAACAGTTTTTCGAGATGCCTTTTCTTCAGTTTGAGAGTACCACTGTACACTGCGAGATGCTTCTAAAACGTGGTCAATGAATTTACATTGCTATCATGTTGATATTATTCACAGTTGACTTTCGAACCCCCAAGAATTGAGGTGTTGAAGATATCACTTTGCATAACGGTTTGGTTCACACTGGAGTTTTACCCTAGTGATATGAGAATCACTTGTGAAAAATGTATTCCGCGACTACTGCGTATCACCGCGAATGACGCGTTTTCACAGAGTATTACGCCACTTCACGTGAAACGGGTGGAACTCCATTGTTATCATGTTGATATCGCTCAAAGCTGACTTTCGGACTCTCAAAAATTGAAGGTGTTGAAAATATTACTTCGCGGAAACTTCAGCGAGTGAGAATTTCATAAATCGTATAAACATTATGCAGAGGAGAATCCAATTACTTATAGAAAATGATTTTCCATTGGTTGAATTCCAACCAGTGTTTGACGAACTCCCTAAGCTAACACAAAGACTAGGCACAGAGCTAGGAAGCGGCGATGGTGTGGTATGGGTTGTTTCAGCGTGCAGCTTTGAGTATGATACTGGAATGGTCAGTATTCGAACCTGATTTGTATCTTACATGGTCAACCTCAAGATACCCAAATCATCATGAAGGTCTCAAAATCGAGACCATACATTTGCCTGTCGTTCAATACGCCAATCTCGCCTTCTTGAGTAGCGACTCGGGTACGTTATCGAACTCTGTACGCCGGTGAAGGCACCCTCGAATCACTCGACAGCGAGATGCGGACTAAGGACTTTGCTCTCTCGTTGTCCGTTCCCCTTCCTTGAGTGCTCCCTTGGCGCTCTCTCTTGCCCGTAGTTTGAGGCGCGGTGTCTCTTGGTTCAAGGTAAACCCAAACCGCAGAGGTGTTGGTAACGGACTCTTCGAAGAGTTTATGTGTGAATTCGAGTGGGTAGAAGTGTAAAAAAAACAACAAGATTCTCCTCAAAATTTCCAATATTTGTCACCAACACATGTAGTTGACCACGAGTCCTTTCAAGAACTGTACATTTCCTCATATATCCCATGTAGACGTTCACACACTAACAACTCAACAAAACGGTAATGGGCGAGAAAATCCGCATTTGCGATTTTTTTACTCGACGCACAGAATTGAATTTACGTGACATCTTTAACTCTTGCATTTCCTCAACGGTACGCAACCCCCTTCCCTAACTCGTTACATTCAACATCAACTACTCGCATGCCTCTAGCCATGTCTACTACTGCCAATTCTTCTACACAAATTGGCACTTCCACTAAGCCTTTGGTCCAGAAAGAGCAAATAAAGGGCGATGATGACAACGCTGCTACTACGGGGGTCACGGAGGCTACCAAGGAGTTGTTGACTTCTGATGATTGGAAAGAGAAGATTCATCGTCCCACCGCTGATACTCGCGTGAAGACTACTGATGTTACTGCTACTAAGGGTAACGACTTCGAGGACTACTTTTTGAAGCGTGAGTTGCTTATGGGTATCTTTGAGAAGGGTTTTGAGAAGCCCTCACCTATTCAAGAGGAGTCTATTCCTCCAGCTTTGGCCGGTAAGAATATTCTAGCTCGTGCAAAGAATGGTACTGGTAAGACCGCCTCATTCCTTATCCCTATGTTGGAGAAGGTTAATACCGACATCACTGATGGCATCCAAGGACTTGTCCTCGTACCTACCAGAGAATTGGCTTTACAGACATCTGCTGTTGCTAAGGAACTTGGTAAATATATGGATGCTCAAGTTATGGTTACCACTGGTGGTACTTCTTTAAGGGATGATATTATGCGTTTATACAATACGGTGCATATCCTTGTTGGTACTCCTGGACGTGTATTGGATCTAACTAACAAGGGTGTTTGCTCTTTGAGTGATACTTGCACTATGTGTGTTATGGATGAGGCTGATAAACTCTTATCACCCGAATTCCAACCTGTTGTTGAAGAATTGGTTCGATTCCTACCCAAGGAGAAGCGTCAAATTCTTATGTTCTCTGCGACATTCCCGGTTACCATATTGGATTTCAAGAATAAGTATATGCCTGATGCTGTTGAGATCAACTTGATGGAAGAACTCACTCTAAAGGGTGTTACCCAGTTCTATGCCTTCGTTGAGGAACGTCAGAAGGTTCATTGCTTAAACACTCTTTTCTCCAAGTTGACTATTAATCAGGCTATTATATTCTGTAATTCCGTCAATCGTGTCGAATTATTGGCCAAGAAGATCACCGAGCTTGGTTTCTCATGCTTCTATATCCACGCTAGGATGTATCAGTCTCATAGAAATCGTGTATTCCATGACTTCCGTAATGGTGCTTGCAGATGTTTGGTATCTTCTGATCTATTCACTCGTGGTATCGATATTGAGAATGTTAATGTGGTTATTAACTTTGATTTCCCTAAGAACTCGGAGACTTATCTACATCGTATTGGTCGTTCTGGCCGTTTTGGTCATTTGGGAATTGCTATTAATATGCTCACTTATGATGATAGGTTCAACCTTTATAGAATTGAGCATGAGTTGGGAACTGAGATCAAGCCCATCCCAAGCCATATCGATGAAGCTCTATATTGCTAAATACGTAGTTAGTAGTCGCCACTAACAAGTCTCAAGATGAGGGGAGTTCAACGGAATGATGATTATGATGCTCCCTATCTATCGAAAAAGGGGTTCCTCTATTTCATTGCTTGTCTATAGTGATGTATGTCTCTTTCGATGACGAGTGGCACTGTGGACGAGGTGCTGCCTCACAGTTGGAAATATTAGCAGTACTTTCAATGTATTGTGTTATAGTCGGGACATACTCAAGACGCTCGCCCGCGTGTGTGGAGGAAGCATCATGATAGCGAAACTGCCACGTTATCACTCATGAGCACTTCGATACATGTGACGGTCGTGAAAAGAATGTTCCAAAAATTCATGATGGTCGGTGGGACTCATTAGTGCCGTATTATTATCGCTCTCGTCACAGGATTCGAGCACTTTATGTGAAATTTCATGAAGACGGTAGTGGAATAATACATTATTATAATCAAGGAGTTTTCCAATGCACTGATCAACTGAGATTTCCACAATAGAACGGATTCACGTTGACAGATCTCTGACATAACGAACTGCTCACCATGACCTTTAGAAGTGGTAAATACCGAGAAAGCGATTCAGTGAGTGAAGCGAGGAAGAGCATTCCTTGAGTCATGCCCCGTACACATTTTGGATTTGAGAGAATCGTTTTTACCCAAATGTGCGAAAATTCGCTATTAGCCCTTACTAGGCTGGCAGAAGTGAAGGATTGTGTGATAGCTCGAATAGTGTCTACCTCATCCCGGAGTATGCATGGAGCGCTGCGGAACATGTTTAAACTGCGCAGAAGCAATGCAGTGTTCCTCCAGTTACTCCACCTCATTGAAAGGATACTGTGTGGGCTCGCATGATGAGAGGCTTTGTACAAGACCATATCGGCCACGTTTATGTCCGAACCATGTAGAGATGGAAGTTCCACTGTGGTACCCTCGGCAACCAGCGGTAGGACCTCACTACTATACAGCAAATGAAGAGTCAATATGATTGTGACGTAGTTAACGTCAAGACACTGCCTAGGAGATATGGGAAAGTCCCACTCGAGAGGTGTAATTAGTCTTCCCATTGCAATGCATCCCATATCAGCGTTCTTTCACTTACGAAATGCTCATCTGTAGTTACTATGATATTCCTATTATCAACCCATCAAGTGTCACCCCAACCGACAGCTCATCCATAGCGGAAACTAAAGCAAAGTTAGTTGGTATAAGTCTACCGTGAGCCACTTTAGGATGAGCCCAAATCAGATGCCCGAGCTGACCATGTGTTCGAGGCGAACACAAAAAAGTGCCTTCTGCATCTCACGAGCATGCGAGCCCAACAAACATGTTAACCGTCAAGTTCCGTGCTATAAAATATTCTCAAATTCCCTGTGTTTGCCATTTTCACCACCAGCTTACAACACAACGCATACAACACATTTGTAATGTTCCCAACGGAGAGATGTCGCGTACATTGTGCCCATAAAAGTAGACATATACATAGTTATGGATAAGAAGCAATGGAACAAAATCAAGGAACCCCTTTTCCGATAGATAGGGAGCATCATAATCATCATTCCGTTGAACTCCCCTCATCTTGAGACTTGTTAGTGGCGACTACTAACTACGTATTTAGCAATATAGAGCTTCATCGATATGGCTTGGGATGGGCTTGATCTCAGTTCCCAACTCATGCTCAATTCTATAAAGGTTGAACCTATCATCATAAGTGAGCATATTAATAGCAATTCCCAAATGACCGAAACGGCCGGAACGACCAATACGATGTAGATAAGTCTCCGAGTTCTTAGGGAAATCAAAGTTGATAACCACATTAACATTCTCAATATCGATACCACGAGTGAATAGATCAGAAGATACCAAACATCTGCAAGCACCATTACGGAAGTCATGGAATACACGATTTCTATGAGACTGATACATCCTAGCATGGATATAGAAGCATGAGAAACCAAGCTCGGTGATCTTCTTGGCCAATAATTCGACACGATTGACGGAATTACAGAATATAATAGCCTGATTAATAGTCAACTTGGAGAAAAGAGTGTTTAAGCAATGAACCTTCTGACGTTCCTCAACGAAGGCATAGAACTGGGTAACACCCTTTAGAGTGAGTTCTTCCATCAAGTTGATCTCAACAGCATCAGGCATATACTTATTCTTGAAATCCAATATGGTAACCGGGAATGTCGCGGAGAACATAAGAATTTGACGCTTCTCCTTGGGTAGGAATCGGACCAATTCTTCAACAACAGGTTGGAATTCGGGTGATAAGAGTTTATCAGCCTCATCCATAACACACATAGTGCAAGTATCACTCAAAGAGCAAACGCCTTTTATTGGTAAGATCCAATACACGTCCAGGAGTACCAACAAGGATATGCACCGTATTGTATAAACGCATAATATCATCCCTTAAAGAAGTACCACCAGTAGTGACCATAACTTGAGCATCCATATATTTACCAAGTTCCTTAGCAACAGCAGATGTCTGTAAAGCCAATTCTCTGGTAGGTACGAGGACAAGTCCTTGGATGCCATCAGTGATGTCGGTATTAACCTTCTCCAACATAGGGATAAGGAATGAGGCAGTTTTACCAGTACCATTCTTAGCACGAGCTAGAATATTCTTACCGGCCAAAGCTGGAGGAATAGACTCCTCTTGAATAGGTGAGGGCTTCTCAAAACCCTTCTCAAAGATACCCATAAGCAACTCACGCTTCAAAAAGTAGTCCTCAAAGTCGTTACCCTTAGTAGCAGTAACATCAGTAGTCTTCACGCGAGCATCGGCAGTGGGACGATGAATCTTCTCTTTCCAATCATCAGAAGTCAACAACTCCTTGGTAGCCTCAGTGACTTCACTGGTTGCCTCTTCAGCTTTAGTAACCTCTTTCTTAACGAGCGGCTTAGTAGATGTGCCAATTTGAGTCGAATTGGCAGTAGACATGATAGGCGCTAGTCGTAAAATAACACGTCGAGTAAACTCTAAACAGGAAAAACTACTCAAAATTATGAAAATGTGGTCAACACTAAGCCTAGCGAATAGATAGAAAACCGTGAGCTGCCTCCATAGTCCGTTCGATCGATTCTGAGCATTGAACGAAATTCACATGGTAAGAAAACACTTATCAGCGACAGGAGCGGCGATTGACAGCTGAACCGAGATTCTCTGCTACTCGAGGGTTCGAAGGATCCGTTCCACTTCTCGACATAGCTAAGAGGCTTGCCGTCCTCTGTGCGGGCCACAGAAAACTAGCGCGCGCCTGAATGATAGATTTGCTTCGAGAGCAACATCTTGGCGAAAAGCCTGGCAGACAGGGGTACGACCATTAGAGATACATTCACACCCATAATTGGGCCAATTAAATTGGCCACATATTGCCTTCGCTCATACTAACAATCCTGATCCGCTGGGGTAATTCTCTATTTCAAAGTCAGCGCCATTAACACAATGAAAGGTAACAGTTGTATTCGTATTGGGTAAAGCTCTCTTCATGAGCCAGTGGGTGCACTCACCACATCTTTTAGAGGTCTTTTCGGCTCTTACTAAGAGTGACTACTCCTTTGACCCGAATACAATCAAATCCGCAGCCAAACAATTTCGTCGATGGTAAGTCCAATTGAGACGAAATGTGGCAATGAATTTCGCCGCTCGTGGGGCAGATATGCCAATTATAGATAGAGGGCTTATCCACAGTAGCAAGCAGTCATTGAATGACCAGATTCTTCTAGGCAATATCATACGTAGCGCTGGAGGGCTAGCATGGCATATCTGCCCCAGATGCATTCCGCCTTAGTAAAAGCGGAATTGCTCCCCGTGTTGCGGCTGAGTTGAGTATGCTCGCGAAGGTCATTGTACTACGGAGAAGCTCGGGATGGCATAGGCGCCCCTCTGGATAAATTCGTCGTACTGGGACATCTCTTGGGTGGCATAGTTGCCCCAACCGAGAAATTCATTGTCATAACACATATTGTCGGGATGGCATGATTGTCCCATCAGAGAGATCCCTTGAAAAAATGCATTTCCTAGGGTGGCATAGTTGCCCCACTCGAGAAATTCATTGTTTTAATACATTCCATGGAGGGGCATTGTTACCCCACTGGAGAGACTCTATGTAATAAATCATTTCTTCGAGTAGCATAATTGCCCCACCAGACCAGCCCATTGTAACAAAGCATTTCTTCGAGTGGCATAGTCGCCCCACCTGACCAACCCATTGTAATAAAGCATTTCTTTGAGTGGCATAGTCGCCCCACCTGACCAACCCATTGTAATAAAGCATTTCTTTGAGTGGCATAGTCGCCCCACCTGACCAACCCATTGTAATAAAGCATTTCTTTGAGTGGCATAGTTGCCCCACCCTTTCGATATTATCCTCCACCCCTGCGTTGGGCTCTCTTTCCAACCGAATTCGCGAGTATAATTTCCGTTCGTTTTTTTCCTCAAAATTTCCTTCGAGATTTCATAAGTTCTGATCAACGACGCGCAGCAACATTCGAGATGTCAGCCTCGTCAAGGTCACTCATTCTCTCGCATCGTGCATCAACTCAAGCTCCCACACAAAGAAATTTAGTAGCTCATTCATTAGGCATCAGTGACTCCATGGATCAAGTCATCATCTCCACCATACTCAACAACGCTGGCAGGTATCATTTCACGTTGCGAAGAGGCTGGAGAACTCTCGCTATCCGAATATACAGCCCGCTGTTGATGAGTCAACCACTTATCCGATACTCGTGGGAGAGGCGCTGGTTTGCTCGCGACCGCGACACGCGCCTGAATCCACACTCATTGGAAAACGCAGTACCGACTTACCTTGGCGAGCCACGAACGGAGAATTACACCGGCATTCGCTGAGTGCAAGTGCTCCTCAGTGAAGTCCAGCTCCGATGATTCATCCGAGCGTGACGAGTCCGTCAGAATCTTCCCCTGCACACAAATTCCATACCAAAACTTGAGCAACACAGCAGTTCACCTCTTCTAAATTCGGCTCATCAATTGCATTATCCTCGATTGCCGTCCGTTCTTCAGGACCAACAGGGCGTTCGTAACCATACTCGGAAATCCATTTGCGCCATCCGAGACCTTCACCATGTGCACGGCGTTGGGCCCACTCAAGCCATCGCAGAATGACTTCTCCCTGTAAAAGAGAGCGCTGAGAATAGGCCAGCACTTCTCGAACTCACTTCAGCGCTTTCGATCCTAGGAGGAGTAGCAAGTTGTGAGTAAGGGCTTTCTGCTAAGACCTCCAAGGCACTCCTCGGGCACCTCGATGCATTTTCTACCCTACCACGATCGCTTATCGGTATGTTGATATTTCGTCTCCAATAATAATCCTGCATAATAGCAAATCGGAGAGCAAATAAAAGTAAGGAAATACATTGCATGTTGAGCATAGCGTGCATGTCCGAGTGTAGCGCGAATAGAAGGTCTCCCAAAGTGGCCCGTTCCAAAACGGCGACATCTCCCGTTGCCTCCGGTATCTTGAACACTCCATTCCTTCCTACTAACAGAAGCCGGCAGCTGACTCATTTGCGATCTCCATGTGGGTGTAGACCGGGCTCACACACAAGCCCCTGCTATTGCGACCATCCGCTCCGCAGACTTCACAATGATCTTTCAAATGATGAGCTCTCACTCTAGACGAGGTTCGACGCAGATACAGCAGAAATCTGCTCGAATCAGCGGGGACCGCAACAGCGATCCAACCGCACCCACCTGGCCCGTCTGACCCAAAGTAGACTAAGTTCAATAGCCACTGTTGAGTCATATGCATGTCTGCTCTTTGCAGCCTTATTGATAGCCTGATGAACTCCTCATCATATCACTTAACACAGAAAGAGAACTCCACCAGAGCATGTCGAGGTGGGGCGTCAAACTGGAATCTATGAGGTTCCTCAGCGAAAGCTGTGCCTCCGGTCAAAATCTGAACCAGGTATCGCGGCGATGTTCAAACTCCTATTCTCCAAAAGCATCTTCCATGAATGACGTTCTCACCTCGGAAGAACCCGTATAGGATCCCCCTCGAACCTTCCCAACGGGTATTGGATTTTCTTCACTGAGAGGGATGTATTTATGAGGATCAACTTCGCCGAGCACATCGGCTAGAGATCTCAACAGAATTCCTCGATATTTCACTAGTGCCTGTGCCATATTTGGTGACAACTCTGTAATAATAATGCTACTTGATCTTTTAGAATCTCATCAAAGGAATGCTGAAGCCACAGTTTGTTTTCCTTTAGGAATGCTAGACGATATCGTTCCAAATTAGAAGCATGCGTCTCTGTTGGGCTAGGCTCGGGCTTAGAGGCAAAGAACAGTATTATTATTGATAATCTACTCTAGAGATCCCACCCAACAAGCCAGTGCCGACCCTGGTGGTGCTGATATCGTCACCCGTGCATCGGGCGTAACCTGTCCTTCCTTTCGGGTGGCAGCAGCTGTCAAGCTCGCCACTGTCGCTGTTGAATGCTTCACTAAAGATTCCTTCACCTGGTGTTGGTAATTCACTAATACACTATGAGCCACAGACTTGCCACAGTTGAAGGTAGTCCGCTGTGGTGATAGTAGCTGCCTGGCCTAGCCTACATGCAGCTATGCTCAGCACAAATACTATTGAAGACGCGGGATCGTCGAATATATTCCAACGAGCCGTCAGAATTATTTGCATACCAATAATCCATATAATCATACCTATATTTGATGAACACTCTCATCAGGAATGCCCTACAGCATGCCAACCTAAGCCGCTGAGGAAACAGCAGAAATAATACTGCTCGGAAAAACACATCAAATCCAAACTCCTCAAGTGAGGCGCCACAGAGTCGTCAAGAGGCTCTCCTTTGCCCTTCCACCGATGAGGCCGCGAGGAGAACCGATAATGACAATATCTGCTATAAAGTATTTGCAGCTGGTAAAGTTGCATAAACTTCCAACTTGAAGTAATCCAACAGCTTCCAGCCTTGGAACAACTCCAGTGAATTCAAACATAGAATGTCAGAGACCAGACGAGTGACTGTGAGTATCAACGTAAAGCCAATATAATACGACGTTTGCTCTGATGCTATATTATAACTGAGACCATGCACTGCTGACGCGCGACGTCCACTCAACGCCTACTTTCCCAGGACTTGACTCTCGTCGTAAAGAGAGTAACAGAGGAAAATGGAGACAGGTGATAAGAAAGTGTCCACCAGGTCAGAAGAGTACCTAAAGCACTTATTCACGCTTTTTTGATTTACACCATACCCTGCTAAAAATCCTATCATATCTTCCACACGCGTATCATATTCTTCAACAGTCTCCTCCACGGACTTTTTCTCATCGGTCACTTCACGATTGCCGTTTTCCTCCATCTCCATGGGCTTTCCCAAAGCATCAATAAGGAACTCCTCGGTGACTAACGAGGTCGTATCTGCTACTATTTCACGGCATTGGTTTCAAAAAAGGCACCTTTAGGCCGCAGCCTCGCCTGAATATCGCCCCTATCACCGCCTTTCAACAACCACATAATCGCCTCGACAACGGAAGTGATGAGAATATATAGTTGGTTCAGTAAGCGTCCCTTGTTTGGTGATATGTACATACGATCAACAGTCTGGACGGCCAGGACCTGATGCCATGGGCGGCTGCTCTATGCAGTGTGGAGGGAAATATGCAAAATATTCGTCACCAACATATGTAGTTGACAATAAGAAAATTTTGAGGAGATTTTTGTGAGGATCTTGTTGGTTTGTAAACACTTCTACCCAAATTCATATATCAACTTCCTGAGCTCAGCTGAGGCGATCGAGTATATATCGAATATTCTTTACAAATAACTGAATCATTTGGGGGTATCAGATTAGCGAACAACACCAGAGTCAACTGCTGTAGGCATGCAAAGCACAGCCAGTTATGGTAACGTCACTGGTAGTAGTAATAAACAACAGCATTCCTCGACCAAGTGCAAGTCCGAATTGCCATTTTTGCCAGACTTGAATGATCGCAGAAGAACGCTTACAACGAACTGGGTTAATATAAAAGTGAAGAAATCCTTGCTGGCCAACACTGCAAGCGAAGACGACAGTCTTAGCACGTTAACAGCAGGTACTAACAGTAGTCTCTCAGCCACGAGTGTGTTCAGGACGACTTCAACGATTATACCTGCGCCAAAACGGTCCAAAATCATGTGGATGGCTCCTAGGGACTCACTGAGAATATACAGTCCCAACAGCATCAGCCAGAGGTTGTTCATGAAAAATTCCGAGAAGGAAAATTGAAGTACAATCAGCGCCACCACCGCCATTGTAAATTGCATCAGAGCGGAGCACGTTCGCTTCCAAATGTGCGGTATGAAAATAGGCTCATCAGAAGCTGAAGTAAGTAAAAAACCATCACTGTGGCATGGCTGATGATTGTTGTTGATGATATTGCCCATAGATTATTCGATTGCCGGAAATATGAGAGTATTCGCATTCAATGCCTCGTATTGTGGCGGATAAGGACGACTTGTTCGTAAAAACACTATTAATGTCGCACGGTTCGTTGCTTGAGCTTAATAGCATTATTATTGTCCTTCTCCTTCTCCATTCCCTCGGATGGTTTACGGACCGTAAGAAAATCACTGCGGCATTCAACACTAGAGCGTTACGCAGTTCGCTGTCTTCAAGTCTCCTTTTGCGCCCTACATTTTCATAATCATCACCGACGAGCTCATCGAAATCGTCAAAATCTGAGATGAAAAGTGTAAAAAATTGGTTATCCAAGAAACGCAATGTTTACATAAATAATTCCCTTCTGAAAACTGGCTTTTTCATGAGCGATGAAAAGATTCTCTTCGCTTTTCACGAACAAGTTCAGACATACTGTGTGTCCGTTTTTTTCATGGAAATCAAAAAAGTTGACGTCCGAAAGAAAACATTCTTAACGGTATTGGAGTATACGTTTTCTCTTCTCGGCTCAATTCAAGGTTTTCCTCACCACAAATAGGAGTATACAAAAACCAACAAAAACTTTTCCGGAAATTTTCCCAGGATTTTTCTTTTGTGCATTTTCCCACACACTGCTCACCTTCTTCATTCGATTCATCCGCGTAGAATTTAGACTCAGCCGGAGGAAGGAATGCCTGACAGAACGTATATCACCGACTCGCGAAGTACAGAACCACATTGAGCACTAGTCACACAATATAACTCCTACTGAATGATCTGGTCTAGTTACTCTACACCGTTACGCAAAGTAATATTTTCAACACCTTCAATTTCTGAGAGTTCGAAAGTCAGCTTTGAGTAATATCAACATGATAACAATGGAGCTTTACCCGTTTTACGTGAAGTGGCGTCGTAAAACTCGGTGAAAAACGCGATATTCGCGGTGATATGCAGTAGTCGTGAAATATGTTTTTTTATATCACTAGGGTGAAACTCCAGTACGAACCAAACCGTTATGCAAAGTAATATTTTCAACCCCTCAATTTTTGAGAAAGTCAACTGTGAATAATATCAACATAATAACAATGTAAATTCATTGACACCGTTTCAGAAGCCTTCCGCAGTCCATAGTTGTACCTTCAAATTGAAAATTGAAGCCCGCTCGAAAATCCAGATATGCATGACTGTTCAGTTCTTAGCGACTGCCAACGGTCAAACTCACATGCTATTTATCAATGTGATAAATCCAAATTCTGTCCCAACGGCAAATACTTGCCTTAACGCTTTGAATTGTTATATACGCTCCCACAGCGAGTAGAACTACTCCTGATCTAGCTCGGCGTCTTTGCTGTGCCGTTGTCGCTGTATCCTGAGGTTCACGTTACTAAGATACAGATTAGGTCCGAAATGGACACCTTGGTTTCTCCATTCCAGCTGGTGGTGAAACCATCGAAAATACCAATTCGGCAGTTTTCGAGTGCAGTTCCCTCAGCACACTCAAAAAAAGGAAGTGAAAAGGCTCCAACGGTGCCTCGAATGAACATTATAAGTAGCATGAGTATCGGCAAGCACGGCAATGCGGCAAGCACCGCCCCTTTGAACGCAGGTTGGCAGATAAGTCTTACATAACGCGAGTCGGTCAGCTGAAAACTGAAGAGCTCATGTTTTCCTGATGATGATGATTTACCTTAGGAGGGAATTTTATCGAGCTGAAAGTCCAGTTGTAAGCCCAAAACAAGGCCATCACTGCTAACAGGAGCACTGAGGTTGCGAAGAATATTAGAACGTAGAAATCTCCAGGAAAAGCAAAGGTGTTCATAACCTAACACACAAACCACATTGAGCCCAACATGTATAGGAAAATATACATGTGCTGGTCACAATTAGGAATTTTTTCAAGGAAATTTTGGTAAATTTCCGTTGACATCTGCACACTTCTACCCTAGACTCTATAGCTAATGAGAAAACTCCTGAGGGAGGTGAACAAATATTTTTCTCAACACTGTTTTTCAGTGATCTAGCCTACTCCGATATGGCTCATCCCCTCCCATTGTATCTTTAACGTGTATTCCCAAAGGGCCTCGCCGCTCATTTGCTGTGCTGTTGGATCATCGAACTCCGAATACTCCACTTCCGCCTTGATGAGAACCTACTAGTAAAAGCTCCTTTAATTTTACCCCTTGTTAATCACTTTCTCTTTGGAGGTTTTCTGCCAGTACTTGAGGCTTAACGATACGACTTTCATCAGTTTTCCATCCGAATTCGCGCCCCGTATCAGCACCACAGGAACGGCATCCTAGAATCAGTATGATCTCAATTTCTATTACTTTTGAGTCTTACAGCTGATGGCTCTTCAATGGACGCGTATTCGACAGGAGTTAAAGCTCGTCGGGATATATAGAAAAGTATTGTCCCTGACTTGATCGTTTCTGTCCCTATGAGACTGCTTGGCGGCTACCCGAGCGGCCTTCAAACCATCGAGGCAAGAAGAGCTTCTCATTGGGTATCTCATCCATTACACAAGACAGCTCGACGGGTCCGGTGGCAGCATCATTGCTAGGTCCACAGGAGTCGCCACTAGGGAGTGCACCAAAGCTGAGCCGGTCGATGACAACCTGGCGAGATACCCCAAGTTAGGTGGGCATTTCGAGCTGAGCCCTACAGTGTCCTCCTCAGCCACGATCCGGCAGTTCTTTCCTTGTTCCACAACTTGCCATAGTGGAATCACTCGTCCAAAGCCGCGACAATTCGAGAAAAATGGCAAGTGCGACATCCACACAGTTTTCCTCTTATTGGTGAAGTAGGAACCAGCCCAAAGATATTCGTCGTAGTCAGCAGGATGCCTCATACAGTTGGTCAGATTGCTGTCCCTCGGTAACCAAGACAACGTGGCTTTACTAAGGACGCCGCGTTGTGATGATGCTACCACGCCTGATACTGTCGACTGTCTGCTAAGCTCATCATACTTGACATCGAGATCTGTTGTGAGGCGATTAAGAGCCGCCAGGGGGGTATTGAACGGCAAGGCCACGCCGCTATCATGACGTAGCTCTACCACAAACGCATTGGTCGTTCCCAGTAGATTCCTAGAGGGCTCAAGGACCTCTACTGAGGCAGTTTGTATGTAGCTGAATCTATCAGCCATAACCATACCATTGAGGATCTGCACTTCAATTCGGAACTGGATGTCTACCATGGCGTGAAGGGACAGTTCAATGACTTTCGGCTGACCTGCTGAATCTTGTACGCCCCTGCAGGCAGTCGTTGAGATCGACTGAGTAAAGCCAAAGCCGATACAGAATGGGTCTGTTATGCTCGGACAGAGACTGCCAGACGCCATCATAAATCTCTCGAGAGCAATAGGCATGTCCGCCATAGTGCAATTATGATTCCGTAGATTATCCTCCCGGACATCGGGCAAGCTGTCAAAGTAGACCTCTTTGTCCGAATACCATCTAGACCAGATTTCCTCGCACATTTGAGAATCGTCGAAATCATGAGGGAGACTATCATTAACGAAAACTCTGACTCGCCAATCTCTGCCATATTCCACTCCAGACGGAAGTCGCCTCAAATCAAGCGTGATGATCGCGCTTGCTCGTGCAGGTAGACTGTAGACTATACGTTCATCTTCGTCATCAATAACGGGGATAATAGTGCCTTGCTGTGATGCGGGTATCGGCCTGGGGATCGATTCCACATTGGCCATAGCTACTGGATTCACGCGTGATACGATAATATCGGCGTTGTCCTCCAGGGAGACGATCGACTTCCGCTTAGTACACATGGCGAGTTCAGACGCGGCGTCTTCAGAAGTCAGAGTCCCAAAAGGGCATCTAGTTATACTTTGTTTACTCTCACCGTTATCATCAATATCAGTAGCTGTCCTTTCCATTTCCTTCACTAATGCATCTCGTACGTAGTCGATGAACGAGACGGCCAGGCGGTCGAAGTCGTCCCAGTATGGTCCTCCCTCTGGACCGGGGGCACTATTGTCTTGTGAAACCCTGGACCAGTCGATACAGTCAGGCCACGGTGAACAAGATGTACTGCTGAGCTCGTCATCGATGTCGTAGCGAAAAGGAGCGCCATAGGGCTCATCGTAGGGATCAACAGCTCTCGTGAGGCATCTCATCAGATGACCGTCGTTGATTTCTTCGTGACAAAGACAATCCCAAGTTGATCCATTTCTCATTCGAGGGAATGTGTCGTTGAGACATTTGTTAGAGTACTCGTAAGGAGCCTTCCATGGGGTCTGTAAGGCCTGCAGTTGTCTACTGTGCCAATCCTCATCTTCATAGAGAGACTTCGCTACGCCTTCTGCGCCTTCAGCGAGCATAGGAATGTATTCCACTTGGGATTGGACACAGAACGACATGGATGAGGTCCACTGTGACAAACGCGTCTGAACCTCAGCTTCGGGTAATTCATCCAACAGCTCATTGTTAAGACTCTCCGCGTTGATCAGCTCAATTTGCTTAAACTCAGCAGCATGGATCTGTCTCAAGCAGTACTGAGCCGCGACTTGCAGGATTAAAAAGTCGCTATACTTGATATACGCAGAGTTGGGGCGTAGGGGCACGTCCATGTCCGGTTTCCAACCAGTTCCAGGAGGACAGTAAAATCCTGTCGGACAACGAAAGTTGTAACGATTGGCGTAAGTAGTTCCTTCAGGACAATAAAACTCCTTTAAACACAGCGAGTCGTACACTGAGATCGGGCTCGTTCCGGTCCCGCAGTAGTAGCCATTGAGACAAGGTATTTTCGAGGCTGTCTCTAGCGTAGTGCCTTCACCACATATATAGCCTTCCGGACAGGGGTTAGTTTCGCTCAAATTACCGGTCTTGGTGAAGCAGAAGCGACCTGCAGGGCACGGGTCGCAGCCGGTCTCATCTTCAGTGCCTCTCAG